GAAAAATGGGTTTGCAGTTAGATCTTAGGAAGACGATGTTCATGAAGAACCAACTGGCTTATGATGTCTCATTTTCGCTCACATCTGAAAATGCTCTGGCTATGTACTTGGGTCAGGAAATCAATATGATGGATAACCGGAACTGCTGAGAGAGCGAAATCGGCGCTCTGTACTCCGTCAACGATCGAAGATCAGAGACGCCGCCGCATTTGCCAAGGTTTCGAAGATCAGGTGGGCCGGGCACGTCATGCGTTTCGAGGACGACCGCTGGACCAGAGCGATCACCGACTGGATTCCACGGGATGTCAAGCGAACACCTGGACCACTACTTTCGCCATGGTCGGCCTTCAAGTGATGAAACGCTCTGAACGGTACGAAGTTCATCGTGTCCCTCGAGCAGAGAGAGTTCATTGGGCAACTCTTGCACGTTGCAGGGACGAATGGAGACGTTACTGGCGCCCGCTCGAGGAACTCGATGATCAACCAGAGCACAGGTGATAAGGTATAGTGAATTGATGGGTCAGCCGACGTACGAACAAGTAATCGTGAAAGTGATGGCGCCACTCCTAACCAACCGCTCAGATTGCTCTCAGGCGGCATTTTCACCGTGTGTAGAAATGGACTTCACCCTTCACCCTGCCAAGTGGAGCTTCGATCTGGTAAAAAGCGCAGCCATTCGGTCATAGCAGTACCCTATTTGTGACCTCAATCTCCGAAAATTAATCGCGCATGCTAGACAATGTGCTCTGTAGAGAGTACAGGCGATGTTTGTCGAAATATGTACAGGAAAACTCATGTTATTAAGTGAGTGCGTGACCCAAGCGCTGAAACCGTTGGGTCTACGCCAGGTTCTAGCCCTTCTTCGCCTCCATTATGTGAGCACTTTCCAGCTTCTCCCTGCCCAGTAGCGCAGTTCAGCACATCCGTGCTGCGTTGAGGGCGGAAGATACATTGCAACCCGCATCTCGTGCACGGCATTCGCATCGGAACCCTTGTGAATAAACGCGGCATTACTGCAGTTTTCCCTTCAACTAGCTAATAATAGTGATAGATTGGCTCTATGCTGCGATCCAGATATCTTGAACTGCACCTCGAGCGGGGACATTGACAGCCCCTTCTGCCTTTTGCACGTGAACCTTACCGTTGCATTCCTTAATCCCTTATCACAGCCACTGCTACTACCAGATGTAGTGATTAGCGGCTGTACTTCACACGACCACATTCTGATACATGATGGAATTTTTTCGAGGTTTCCTGAAGAACCATTCTCCAGTGGCTGGTCGGTATCTGTTGTTGTTATGCACGCGCTGCCAGGCCTTTCCATTTTCGGAATATGGAGTCAAATTGGTAATGCAATGCGCTTTCCTCTTTCTCTTTTTTTCTTGAAATAGCCTACGGATACGGTTGGGTACTTCCATACGACACTGAGTGCATGAGTGAAGTGTGTACAGTCTTGTTCTTTGGTGGTGCTTAGTGACAGGGGGCTGGAGCGGTGTGGAGCGAGGCCAACCCATTTCTCCACCAAGTGTGGTCGCTTGCAAACTTCCACAACTGGTGGAGAACGGATGGCCACGCCTCAAACTCAACCCCCCCCCCCCCCGGCACGCCCCTGCGCCCGCTGCGAACAGGACTGTGTAAAGGATGAAGTCTTCGCAGCTTCCTTTTTTAGAATGCACGCACGCATTCCACTTCCATTCAGAATCCTAGTTGCTCATTGAATGCTACGTACTATATACAGTCCAGTCCCGCAGGATTGCATAGAAACTCCATATGGGGAAGGCGTGACCATGTAGTTCATATGAAGCTGGTGTCAACGGCAATTTTAGAGGGGTAGTGAGGTTTCGGTTAGTTGTACATAGTCATGCCTCTGTTTAGAAGAGGATGGAATCACAGTTGTCTCAAATGGACTTATTCCACGAAACGCATCAGACCCCCATGTTCAGCGGACGTATGTACTTAGCCACACCCTCCTCATCTCCAGCATATGGTGTATATGCACCTTCGAAATCTCTAAAATGCGGTAGGCGTGGCTGAGTACTTCAAGCAAATGTGACGGTGACTTCTGGCTGGTAATTCCATTCTGGAATTGCAACTAAGTCTTCAACCAACATAGGACAAGATGACAGTTGTCTAAAACTGAAATATCCCACGAGTAACTCATCCAATGCCATGTCCAAATGCCACGCCTACTCACTCAGGGATAGGGAGTATATGTGCACAGTCCTGCTGGAACAACTGTAAATACAGTTTTTTACTACATAGTATTATGGTAAATTGGGAAGGGAGTACGGAGGAAGTTAGACCATAGTAGCCTATTGGCAGCTGACACAACCGTTACTACTTCCGTCAAAATCCTAGCCGGCGAGGGATCAGATCCACGGGAAGCATGACGTCAGAGCGCATCGCGTCGTCGGAGGTGGACAACCTATGGGCGCGTAAACGGTAGGATAGAGGCTCAATTTGTTCTGGGCGATTCACGGGGTCTTAAAGAGTATTCTTAACCCAATATAAACGAAAACACATCACATTCATCACACATACTCCTTGAGGGATCGATAAATCTATGCATTTGGGCCCAACTGCTGTCGCGCTCCAGTGAGAAACTGCGACGCGACCGCTTGTGAAAGAAACGAACGTATTGTTCTGCTGATTTCTTTTATAATCAATGCACGTGTGAATCCTCTTTCAAAGTTCCCTTAACATTTTGTCTATTAACAGTTCTATGAGTCGTGTTTTGATTCGTACGCGCATCAGCATTTACTCTAGTAAATCACCTCAATTGTGTATTATTTGAAAATTGTTACTCAAAACGTGGTAATTCCAGCTTGTGGGTACCATTCGAGGGAGTAATAGACCAAACATGGATTTTATGCAATTGCTGGACACCGCCAATAAGAATGCAAAAAGTTTGTCGAAGAAACTTGATGTCTTGAAAAGTGAAGTTGACAGCGAAAAGCGCGCCGAGTTGAAACGAATTGAAGCCGAGAAGAGAGTGAAATTGGAATCCTTAAAACGGAAAAAGGAGACAACGTCGACGGAAGCGGAAACAAAGGTGAGCATTTTCAGTAAATATCATAAGGCAGATAACTGTCCTCTCGTTTTGTGATGAGACGTTTGTTTCAGTTTACAATTCCAAAAAAGAAGAAAGACTCGTCTGATGAGGACAAAGCAAGAATTTTGGCCTTCCTCGCTAAGAAGTCTGAGGAAGAAAGGCAAGCTTTGAAGAAAAAGCAGGCTGAGAAAGATAGACTGGCTCAGTTGCGTCTTCAGGCGCACGGTGGAAAGGTACGATTTTTGTTCCATACTCGGAGTGTTTTATTCTGCAAGGAACAGGACGATTCCAAATCCGAACACTCTTATCAGATGAAACGCAGACAAAAGTCAGATTTTTTTTCCTCTTGAAAAGGAAATGAACTGGCGTTTCTGGACTCGCAGTGAGGCAGGATATGAGGCGACTTAGGCAGGATCTGGGCAAAGATATCTGTCCATCTATTCCTTATAGACCGTGTCTGGCATTGACGCCACTAACAGCAAAAACCTTCTTTGCTCCATAAGTGCCACACAGTAATACCATGTATGCGGCAAAGAGTAGCTTTGCAACCACATTTCTGTTAGACGTCAAGATTTTCCACTGTCGGCAACCATCCCGGCTACTAGAAGCTCACTACATAGGATGAGCTCCAAAGTATACTCTAAACCTTGTTATCACAAGAATGCTGAGTTGTGGGCAAAAGTCGTGCCCCAGGCGGAAGTCGAACCCGCACATGGAAATACGGGAAACCACGACTAAAGGCTCGGCAAGGAAAATTACCATTCCGCGAGCTAGGGGCAGCGTCAGACACCACTTCTTCCTCAATCGAACCATCCAAGAGTTTCATAGGATCCTCTCATTAGGAAGGTCATCCAACAAACTTACCACCTTTAAAGCCACTTTGGAAAAGTATCTCGCATCCTGATGTTGATCCGCTGTTTAGCTCTAATTTGATCCTCACACTCTGTTGTGTTCACTTTATGTTGTTTTCCTTTTATCCGTTTGTGTTCCTACTAATTGTATCAGTTTCACTAGTTGTTTTATTCTGGTATGCCGCACGGGTTTCCGTGTAATAAACAATTACAATTACAATTACCTCTCGCTTTGTGAGGTGTGGGTTCGACTCCCACCTGGGGCACGACTTCTGTCCATAATTCAGCATTCTTGTGATAACATTGGAACGCGAACTGCGCCGTACAACAGCAATTATCGTACTTAAACCTCGTTTTTTTGATTCACTTGTTATATATAACAGAATTTGGTGACGGTCATGTAAGCCTTCCATTAACTGGAACTATTTCCGGCCTCTGCCGACCTTTTTCGTTTTTTTTTTCTTTTCTTCGTTGTCGGAAGCGCTGAAGCCGCTTAGCTTATTGGTAGCCTTTCTTGCATATGTAAACCTGCGTTTTTGCGGGCTCAATATGGTTTGTACAGATATCAGAGTTTAATCTCCTCCTTTCGCGCTTCTCGTTGTAATCATTGAGACGATCAATAATATTAAGCAGTCTTACTGCAGGTCTCTGTGAGTGGGAGGATATTCCGTGTGCATATCGTTCAGAAATCAATGAGCAAAAAATTAGACAGTTTTCAGAAATTACTGCTCTCGTTCCGCCTCGTGTAGACAATTCCCCCTTTTTATCACCGATTTGAGTTCGACATGAGCTCGCAAAACGTTTCCACTCCTCTTCTAGGAATCGCAGAAAAGTGAACCTTACTTCTGTGGTCCTCACATGCCGCTGCGTTTTGAAAATGACGCCCAGCTCTGAGCAAGATTCGGGGATGGTGAGACCAGAAGATTCTTTCCTTGAAGACAGTCTCCGCGCTCAACCAAACCATAGGCCTCCCTTCTTGTTTAGTAGTTATCCGCTGCCTCCAAGACTGTTCCCTTTTTGCAGCTTCTCCGTATGTAACGAAGGCGCTGCGGCCTTCATGAGTGGAAGTCCTACCAGAGCTAAAGGCTATATCTGTTGGGAGTTCAGTCTTTATCCCGTGTTTTTGTTTTTTTTTCTCACTGATAGATGGTATTAGCGTTGGATGACGCGAAGAAACGATTAGTATACCAGATGTAGCGGGAAATCGCTTTTCGGGCTTAAAATGAGCAGGTGCACAGAACTCTTACAAACAGCGGCGGTTCCTAGAGTATTTTCCATGATTTCTTCTGCTTCTTTCTCATCTTAAGAGTTACTCAATACTAAAGATTTGTAAGCCGCCACCATTCACATCACTGGGGCAGGAGGTGGTGTAGTGACAAGTGGCGCGCTCACCACTCGCGCGGTCCTGGGTTCAAATCCCGGGTCGACTCCCGCCCAGGCCAACCAAGCCTTCTACCCTCCGGGGACGGTAAATTGGTACCAGATTCGTCTGGGAGGATAAACACTGACTTGTACATCGGCTGGCCCCGCAAGTCATTGTATAGGCCACATCGCATTCAATAAGCCACTACGATTCTGAATGGAAGTAGAATGCGTGCCGCATCCCACAAAGGGATTGATCAACGGCGAAGACTTTATCCTTTATCCTTTCATTGACATCATTCAGTCGCCGCGTTTGTCTTCAAAAGCATGATGGTTGGAGTTAGATTGTATCGTTTGGTCCTACTCTAGTGATAGGATTGTGTGCTGAATTATTTCTGACATCAATACTGGGCATTGTTCAACTACTACTACTACCTCAATTTTCCGAAAACGGGCCGGATCTTGATCGACTTTTTTCTACGGGGGCAGATTTGGCTGAAAGTTGGGTTCTAGGGGTAATTCGACCTCCTGAACACGAATATCACATCCGCTCCTCCCGAAACTGCCTGGCGCCGCGCCAAAGTACCCTAGATCACCAAATCCGCTGAAAACTTGTCCCCAGGTGTTGCTCGACCTTCTGACGCTGAACCCAAAATCGCTGGCGCCGTGGCGCTGTCGGCAGGCGCCAAGTGGATGTGATATTCGTGTTCAGGAGGTCGAATTACCCCTAGAACCCAACTTTCAGCCAAATCTGCCCCCGTAGAAAAAAGTCGATCAAGATCCGGCCTGTTTTCGCAAAACTGGGGTAGTAATAGTTGAATAGTGCCCAATATTGTTTTATGCGGTTTATTGCTGTTTTTATGATCATTTAGAGGGAGTCGATCAAACTATGCTTCAGACTTCAGATTATATTGACGCTGATTCAGGCCTCCAAGAAAATAGCGAAAAACTTTGGTTTAAGTGCCTTGGACATGCAAGTCAGGTACGGCCACGATCACGAACATGTGGAACGCCTACAGAAGCAAATGTGGAGAGAAGAGGTTCCAGTGTTGTTGTTCACTATGAAAATTCGATAGTTATTCAACGATAAGTCATTTAGGAGGAACAAGATAGAATCGCGTCACAGTACAGGGACGGCGTATTCAAAGCGATTGCACATAAAAGAGAGGTCGAGGAAAAGGTGAGCCTTCGTTTAATTCTTATACCACTTCAGGAGATCTATTTCGCTCCGCTTTTCGCTGTTTATTTCTAGTGAGTTTTGATAGTACTCTGGTGTCTTTTATCGTCTTTATCTTGTATTTCACAGGTGAAACGTTCTCATCCTCCACCAAGTAAGCAGGTTCCCCGTGTAGGCAGTAGCAAGTCGGAGAGTATAGCAGGGCCGTCAAGTCGTCCTCAGAACAGGTGAGCGAGTTGTTCCCCCTACTGCTTACGAGTTAATGCGGGCGGTTGGCAGTAATCAGCCAACCACGCTCTTAATTCTTCTTTTTTTGTATTTTTTTAGTGAGTACCTCTTATACTTTACTGCGTAAACAGAGTGTTTTGTCTAGAAAGCATTTCGAGGGATGCAGCACGCGGGGGACCCGAGCATCCGTGTTGCGTTACAGCTGTTACACATATGTAAAAGAACTGTCAAGTAGAGAAGATCCGTGTACATTATGTCGTATCTATGAAAAAGCGAGCAAGTTCACTAGATCCGTTCGTTGTCATTATCGCTGCGAAACTACTCATATGTTTCATGAATTCTTTCCATCGGTAGTTTCATCTCGCACATGTTTTCTGCCTCGCTTTCCTTCATGTATTCACTGCTTCGATTTTTTTTTCTCAAAAAAGTCCGTATGGTAATCTAATCGCCATTTCTCTTCAAATTCTCGGTCCGTGCATGGGATCGATCACGAGGTGTAACAAGGTGCGCGGGTCACACTGAGTCCTCAAAAATTGTGTGAATTCTGTGGAATAAAATCCCCCAAGTGAGTCTATGCAATAGGGCCGGTTGCTGTTTGTCCGAGTTAGATTGTGCTCATGAAGGGGGAAGTGAAACAGGGAATGACGGTCGACAAACTACCGATACGCAACCCGTACGGCTAATTCGCACAAAATAGTGGAAAAACTTAACTCATTGCGTTATGACTACTATATTACAGCAATAGCGGTCGTGTTTCTTCATCACGTGACGTTCCTTCACAACCGAAAATGCGTGACTCCGGTGTAGAAGTGAAGAAGAGTAGACCTGAACCAGTACTCAATTTCGAGTGAGTCGCTCCGCTTTTTTATCGGACACTATTGACGATAGTGAAATTTGGCTGTGAATTGGTCTGTGGTTTTATGTTCGCAGCTTCTGAACTCAGGGTTCAAAAAACAATCCATACCCATGCAGCATGCTGCAGGTATTCGAAACGATTTCAAGACATTAAAAGGAGCCAGCCAGAACGGCTCGATAACTAGAATCGTCAGTCTCACGCGATGATCTACTTTCGTTAGTTCTTATGCTATGTATGAGATCAGAGGGAGTTGGTGTTTCCAGCTCTTAACATTTTTTATATTTCTTTATGATCTGTTATTCGTACACGGCTAGCAGACGCCTGAGAAACGCGTTGGCCATGCGAAGAGGATAATGAAATCCAACTTGTTGCGCCAGTTAGCAAATCTTCCTTTTCCTTGATGAAGTCGTATTCATGGGTCATAGCAGGCGGTTGACAATTGATCGGAACCTTAAGAAAGTACTAACTTTTCAAAGTTGGCGTGTGCGTACCAAAATTCTGGGCACACCACCTGTTTTCCAAAGAAGGGTCCTTAATCAGATCGACTCTTCCAGACGTTCTCCTGCATGTTTCAAGAGAACATATACGAATCACGAAGGGGAAGGGGGTTTATCGTTCCGTGCGTTTCAGGGGATGCTGAAAAATTTCCAACCTCTTGCTGTCGTATTGTCTTTTTTTTCTGTTGAGATGGTACGTTGTCGAAATTTCGTTTGAACCGCAATGTACCCGAAAAATATGCGACCTTTTGTCAGAAAAGGAGGGGATGCCCTCTTACAGAGTTTGCTATAAACTCGCAGAACTTCCCATCCTTTTTGGATATTTCCGTAAGCGCATAGGAAAATCGAACTGCACTGTCACGGTCTTTACATGTACCCTTACCCCAGAAACGGATGATTTTGCGAAAACACTCCATGACCGAGTGCTATCCTTTTCAACATCTAAATGGGTTATCCTGTCTTCTTTTGATGTAGGAGAAGGCATGGTCTACAAGTACCTAACGAATCGTAAGGAAATTATTCGAAAACGGCTGATCTCATGCATAAGCGTCGCTTTTGAATTGTGTATATGAGAGCATCCGAAACCCCGAATGGATCGCTTATCTTATAGAATGCAGAGACAGTTATTTCATTCGATTACTGTGTCTTAGCTATGGTGATGATTTCATGCAGTGAGAAGTGTAGGAAAAATTGAAAAGGATGGAGCAGATATCAGTTTATGAAGATCCTCCAGTCCATTCATTAAATGAAACTCGATTACTGAAGGACTACTAAAGGAAAAAAAAATCGCTGGTTGATTCTCGAAAAATTTGGCCCTTTCCAGGATTGAGAATTGATTAGCTTTTTCCGTGATTGTACTTCTCATTCAGGGCACTGATGAAAACTGCAAAGAACATAGCAGAAGGAAAAGATCCCGGCCTCGATGCCGTACAGACCGATCGACCACAAGCCGATCGACTGAAGCAGAAGGTTTCGACCTCAGGGCACGTACGTCTTTATTACCTAGAAGTTATGCATGAGGGGGGGGGGGGGGGGGCGATGAGGCAGTTTGTTTGTCATCAAAATTTATATAGCATCGGATGACGAGTTACACGGAAACTCACGGTAAAATGTTCACAAGAGATTGCTCTATAAGCAGGAGCAATCGCTTTCACTCCTACACGGTCGCGACAAGGGGAAGTCATCCATAGTGACCAGATCATTTCACTTTTGTGATCACTAATTACTGAGCTTTGATACAGGTGTATTTATTTGTTCATTTAGTCACTCAATACCTCGCATTTCAAAGTCATCGGACTTTCCAAGTTCGAGGATTCCAAACAGTCGGGAACCTGAGTCAAGTTCAAGCGCCAGACTTGGGAAGCAGGCTGGGTTAGTTGTTCTTTTCTTGAAATATTTTCATTGAGTCTGGCTTCAGCTTCAAACTGTTGTGCGCTTCACTTTCTGCTGACCACTTGGCTTTTTTGAAAATTAGAACCTTAAGTGGCCTGAGTTCGATCAGATTTGCTAGTTGCACCTATGCTTCCTGCATGATTAAATCATTGCTTTGCAAAAAGCAAAACATATCCATCCTGGATCTTTTCTACCTTTATTAGACCTGATTAATCCTTCTCCCTTACACTT